ATCCAAGGCTCTTCCTACTGCCAACACCTGAAAGACCTTTCTGAATTATCAAACTTAATTGGCTTAAAGACGCTGTCCCAAAAGATAAGAGCTGAGCTCAGCAGCGCTGGTATCAATGGACCCTTCTCGGTGATTAATGTGCAACAGCTCCCAACACACAGCCCATCTCTTCTCACCTCAGTGCCACGTGCATCTTGGATTTACCCGTGCAAGGCATAATTAGTAAGGATAAAATCCTTTATATGCTTAAACCTCTTTAATAGAATAAAAGAAATCTCAGCTGCCTCACCTTGACTCTAAAGTAGCAACAGCCACTTGTGAAAAATGAAAAGCCTTGAAGGATTTGGAATAAGAAACTTGGAGAGACAATCACTAATCTTTTATCTTCCAGACTTCAAGCAGAATCAAGTTCTTCAAAGAAAACCCAATAAAGCCCAGACATTTTCATCATAACAAAATAAATAATTCAGTCATACTTTAGAGGACTCAAACATTAGGATTGGCTATTTGATATATTTGTGGCTTAGGTGCCTCTAAACTGATTAAAGATAACCTGATAGAAGCTTGCAATGTCAAAACTGCCTTCAATCCTGACAGATATAAATGGATAGTGTAAATAACTATAAATAACCAAAATGGCTGCATTTATGCCTAATGGAGGATTTACAGCCTCCAGAGCTGCCTGGTAGGACTGAGAGTTACAGCTCTGCCTTTATCCGACCACAGCACAGAAGGGGAGATGAATTGATATCCTCCCCACACTACCTGCCCTGCCAGAACCACCCAGGGCTCAGCTCCAGAAGGAACAAGGAACAGGATTCTCCCACAAATAAGAGAATACCATACATATGACTGGTACATATGACTGGTTTGTTGGTCTTGATTTATCACAGTCTTCCTAGAAACTACTCTGGAACACATCCCAAACATACCTTAAATCTCTGTAGCCCCTGCAAGTTTCTCCCAACACAGCTTTTGTTATCTTCTAGCTGCCATCTGCAGAAGGTAAAATGCCATTGCCTTTGAGGGGAACCAGACCAAGTCTTCATTTAAGCCCAGAGGCTTTCACCAAGGGGGACTCAACTGCAGCAACCCAGTCAATTTTCCAGTTTGGGTAACTGTGCTCCTACCTTCCCACCATCCCCCACATTCCCAAAGTCCCAGCAGCTCTGCAGCCCCATGGGAGCCATGTGGGAAGCAGGTAGAAACAAGCCCTGTGCTCACACAAGCATTGGGGTAGCTTGATTTATGCCACTGCCAGGAGATCACAGAGCAGCCACTGACACGCTGCAACAGCCTGGTGTTTGCACCACTCAGAAAGGCACCTCCAGGACTGGACTGGCATCAACAGAAGAGGCACCAGAGAGGCAACACGAAATCCTGCTGATTACATATTTGAGCAATTACTTAAAATACTGAAAGCGACTCTCCCCAAGAGCTCACTGTGCTGCTCCCGCAGACACAGCCCCAGCAGTCAGCTCTCCTGTTCCTGAGCTTCTCACTTGGCAGAGCGGGAAGATTACCAGCAAGTTGGACACAAAGCAATGTGTGCAGATGCTCCTCTTCCCTTGGAGGTCCTTCTGTGCTTGTTTGTGTTGCAGTCTTTCCCCTTTTTAAAGTACCTTTTCCCTTGGACAGAGAGCTGTGAAGAGCACACCACAGAAGTTGCATCCAGGCCGCTTTAACTTTCTGTTATTCACAGAGCAATGTGGTCAATATGCAGGACAAGAAATTAAGTGACCACTGAAAAGCTAATTCCCAAACTTGGGAAGCAGAAGGAATCAGACTGACAAACAGGAACAAACCCTAACCCCAGGGAACAGACTTCTTTAGCCAAGGGAAGGAGAGAGAAGGAAGAACCACACTGGTATTTTCCTGCTCAAGTTTACCTTTCACAAAGTTGAGCTATTCAGATTTAATATTTAGGAAATCAATAGGATTCACTGAGGGCTTTTTCTGTTGTAGCTCTTTTAATAAGAAAAGATTAGGTGGGGGCAGGGTCAGAAATTTCCCCACCGAAAAAAGATCTAAGGTCAGAAAAAAAGAGAGGAAAGAAAGCAAACCCCAGGCAGGACTCTCACTATTCTCTACATCAGCTGAGTTGCACTAACTCACTGGTTAGTTCGGATGAGAACCCCAAGGCAACACTAAATGTCACTTGACAAAAGACACATGAGCAGTTCCGAAGTGATGGGTCCCTCCTGGTATGGAGCTGCTGGTGTCTGAGAACGCAAACAGGGAGGTGCACACATGGGCAGATGTATCCACCAGCATGGATACACCACAGGAAAGTGAAAAAACTGCCTGCAAAATAATCCTAGAGTAAGATTTAACTGCAGTTGAGGCAGTCACAATCCATTTTAGCACTGTCAAACGCAGCAAGTTTCCAAAAAATTAAATCACTACTTAAATCATCTTCATAATTTTAAAAAGTGCCTGCAAGATAAGACCAGGAGCTAATTGTACCATTTAAATTCAGTGAATGAAGGATTTTTTTGGTTGGGATTTTTCCTCCCTAACTGCAATAAAAAAAAAAGCCCAAGGGTCTAAAACTAATAATCTAATAAACTTTGTTAAGTGAACATTGTAACAGATAGGTCTGGATGAGATTTCCTGTAAATGCCAGACAATTTCCCTTGATCTTTATCAGCAGAGATGCTGCTCTAGCTTCAGCAGGAAGAAATTAAATTTGGTGCAAAATAATAACATCTGGGTGAGATTCTGTTTGTCAGACTAGCAGTCCCTTCAGATGCCAGGCTAAAAATGTCAAAATTAACTCTGAAGGATTTTACATTTGTGGTTTTTCATATGAGTGGTTCAGCGGTGTTTCCATACCAACACACTTCCCCACTCTCCAGAGTGGTGCAATTATCCATCCTCTGTGCTGGGTACCAGGGTCTGACCCAGTGCAAGGCACACAGAGAGCTCTCTGCCCTGCCAGAGTGCACCTCAGGGCTGGCATTGCTTGGAGATATCCCACTCCTCAGTACCAGTTCCCAAAGCAACAGGGTATCTGTCCCCAGCTTTGAGCAGGACCTGCAGGAGGTGCTCAGGGACCACAAGCTCCTCTTCCCTGACCACTCCAGCACATAGCTTGGAAACACAGGAGGATGCAAACAGCAAGTGGAGTTTGATTTGGGGACACTGCACTTCAGCACCAGCTCCTTTAGAGATGCCTTGAGATAGAAGCCTGTCCCCTACAGTGCCAAGAACAAATCAGACCACTGGGGGTTGGGTGAAAGCACAATTTCTACAGCTGGAACAGCCTCTGGAACTGCAGCCATCAAAATACTCTTAAGCAGCAATCAAAAGACCAACCTATTTTCAAAAGTGTTTTTCTACAGATTTTCAGACTAATTTTAAAGATAACAATAGTAAACAATGTTCAAAGCCTAATGAATTGTCCTTCCAAGTCCAAAACACTTTACACAAGATAATTAAAGTGAGCTTCTCAATGGTTCCAGCTAGAATTCCTCTTCTTCAATGGGCTTGCAAACGATTTTTAGTCACAAGCTTTTTTTAAGCAGAAGTGGTCAGAAACTGTTCAGTTAAAGGCCTTCCTTCCCTGCCACCAAGAAAGGCAATTCTGCATATCAAGGCTTCTCAGAATAATATCAGTTTCAAAAACCTTGCACGGGTCTCTGGGCCATGATGGAAATATAAAAAACAGGAAGGAAAAAAAACCAAACAAACAAACAACAAAAAAACAAACAAAGATCCGCAAGGGTTTCAGCTCTCTCCAGAAGAGGCAGAAAGTTCAGAGCAAGAGCACCCCACTGCTATGCACAACCTGCAGTACCACAGGGTGTCATTCCCACACACAATAAAAACTAATGTTGCAGTTTTTGTCAAATGGGAGGCAGACACTTTGTATTCCAGGCAAGTTATTCACCATTTCTGAAGCTGGTCCGCATTTCCAATGCCTAGGAAACCAATCTCTCATTAATTTTACTCCATTCTGGTTCTTAGAATTGGAACTTAATGGTCACAACATTAAGAAGTACTGGGGGGAAAAATACACTGTTATCTCCTTAGCAATTTATTTGATCTTACATTGAGAAAAACAACACATTAGACTTCATCAGGCAGTTGTGACCCAGCACAGAGCTCAGCCATGATCTCACAGGCTTCAGCAGGCCTTGAGTCCTGCCATTAGTGAGACATAAACAGAAATAAATCAATTATTCTGCAAAAATATCATCATGAAGGAAAAAACGCTTGATTGCCCATGATTTCCTCTTTAAATACAGGCAAAAGCACCATGAATACAGAATGATAGAACCTCAACAGGACACCACTCAATAAACAAGCAATCATTTCACCGCACATTAACCATGGATGGAATAAGTTTTGCTCATGTAAAGGCCTTAAAAAGAAGGATTGCAGATTCAAGCGGTACAAACTAGTCTGTATACACACTAAAAAATATTCAAAGATCCATTTTGCAAACAAACAGAAAAAAAGCCCTAACAAAAACATCACATTATCATTAGAAAGAGAGATGCCACAGACATCAGGTCACCAAGCACTCAAATACTGGAGCACCAGAAATCATGTCTGTGAATAAGGCAGCCTCTGTCCGCCTTCCCATGGAATAACCAACTTTGTTGTGTGATGGGTAATAACCCCTGCACACAGCTGAATCAGATCTTACCAAACAGACAACCAGATCATATAACCTGTATTTTGGGACTGTCAGAATCCAAGATGGTTCTTGCACAGAGATTTTAATTCTTGGGGAAGTGAGCTTTTCATTCATTTTTAAATTTGCACTTCAAGAGGTTTAGTGTTTAAATTTACATTTGCTGTTACAGCTGCAGGAATATTTAGGACAAGCCCTGCAGAGCAACCATATACCAAACAGGGTGTATTGTTAATCTTAACTAAGGACATATACAAATATATGAAAACAAGTCAACAGAAAGCTTCCAGCCACCTGTGCTTCCAATTGCCAGGTGCTGAGGAAGAGGAGGAGAAGCACTGGCTCTCCCAGCACTCACCTTGGAAGACAGCAGCGTTCTGGATGACGAGGAACTTCAGCTCCATGCTGGCAGACTGCAGGAGCTGCTCCATGTTCAGACGGGCTGTTGCCTGGTACTTCTCCTCCATCTTCCTTGAGCAGCATGTGGAGCCCTTTGGGATGCATACCTGCAGATCAGTCCCTGGAGAGAAGTAAGAGCAGGAAATTTGCATTAGGGCACGGACTGCTGGGAGTGGGGAGGAAACCAATTCCACACATCAGTATTTGCTGCAACTACTGCTTGGGCAAATTGATGACATTTCTGGAATTTGTCCTGAGCAAGCAGCTTGGCCAAAGGAGAGGACTGATAAGGCAGAGCCAGGATTGCTGAGCAACAGCCCCTAAAAGCTGTGTTTCTCTGCTTGCTTTAGCTCCCACACACTCCACCTATTGATGTGCTGGTGCCGAGCAGAGCAATCCTGAGCACTGCCCTGTTGTTCCCCAGGCACCCCGGTAAGGAGGCACGGGCAGACAGAAAAGATGGGAGGTGGAAAACAGAGACAGGATTTGAGGCTCCAAATCTGCAGTGAATAGAGCAACAAAAATAGCACATCAAGGAGGATATGACTGTAATTTGCATAAAGACTTAAAACTAGTTTAAAACATAATAGTGTGATTTGCCTGTAATTTCCATCCTTTTGCATCTCCAGCAACAATAATAACAACAGAAGGACACAACAGTAATGATTTACCTGGCTTTTTACTGCTGCCTTTTAATTTGTACATATCTGAGTCCTCCCACCAATTCCCCCATCCTATCCTTCCTCCAGTGCAACAGGCAAAGCCCAAGGTCCATCACTTAAGTTGTGGAAGTCCCGCTGCAGAGAGACAGACCCTGAGGGATGCCCTGAGCACTGCACAGGGCCTCTTCAGCAGATGTGCTACTGCATGGGCAGCACCTTCACCCACTCACTAGGATGGGACAAAAGCCAGGGGGACACCACTTGCTCTGGCACCTGCAGCTGTAGCTCTTAGCACTGATCAGTGAAGTTTTTCTTGACATTCCCAAAGCACTTACTCATGGAGGAAGTAGACAATTTTAGGGAAGGTGTTGTTAGCTAAAAATAAATAAAATCTAGAAAAAAAAGATAGAAATCTTTCTGGGCTCAGACAACAAAAGACAAAACAGAAGAGCTGGAAGCAGCAGAAACAAAAAGTCTCATTTTTTATCAACTTTCAAGAGCAAACTGAGGCCCCACGAACACAAGCAGAGCAACAAACACATATCAAAGCAAATAGCCCTGCCCATGCAAAACACATCCAATCTGATGCTGCTGTTAGAAACTCAAAAAGCAAGCAACAACTCCTTTAAAAGCAGCTGTCCAGGGTCAGAGAGCAGCCAGAACCTCACACTTCAGCATCTGCCACCCAAACTGCATTGTGCCCAGAGCAGGAGTAGCTCCCTGCTAGGCTCAACCCTGTCCAGAACCAGGACTAAGAAGCAGACCCCAAGCCAGTGACCAACAGCCCAGAGTGAAGGTTCCTCACACCTCTCAGCCCTTACTCTGCCTTCCTGCTTGCTATAGAGGTTTTTTCCTTAATAGAAGCAAGTCTGGTAATTTACATCTTTGCTCTGGAAAGATTACACATCCTTCTAGGTTCCCCTCTTCTCTCCTCCTTAAGTGTCTTTTACCACATCCACTCTCTCCCTAATTACTAGAAAGTGTCAAAAGTCACTTCTGCAAGTGTAATCTAGAAGAACAGGATTAATATTAATGTCAGTTCAATCGTGTACCTCTTGAAGAAGAGTCATGCACAGTGCCAAGGGAAAACCAGCTGTCAGGGCTCAGCAGCAGCAACAACAGAAACCCTCCTCCAGCCCCATCCCTTCCACCAGCACAGCCTTGGAAAAGAAACATGAAATGCTTCACTTGCAACATGCACTGCACATGGGGAAAGGAGATTTAACCAATGCAGGTCCTGCTGTCACTGGAAAAAAAAAAAAAAAAAAAAAAAAAAAACACCAAACCACATGGCAAAGGAGGTAGAAGGATCCACACCCCCATCCTGGCTCCATTGCTCCCCGCTGCCTCAGTTTCCCCTTCTGCAAAGCAGGATGCACAGCAGTCCTCGAGCCCTCTGACACAGAGCCAGCACCACTGACACCTAAAACTCGAGTCTCAGCTGTTCGTGAACTCACCCACTCCAGAGGAGCACAGCGACAGGTATTTCATGCACTGAAAAAATGACGGGGACCATAAAGCTGCGTAACAGCAAGACACTGCTTTAATGAGAGAAGCAGTTATATAACAGCAAGTTAAAGAGGTTTTTTAAAGTCAAACCCCAGTCAATTTATGCCGCAAAAAGGCTTAGCGTGGTCCCTTTAACACTACAGTACGACCATAAATTTCTTTTTAATACAAAGCTTATTTCCTCCTACATTTATTATACTCAGACACATTTCAAATTATCTAAAAAAAAAAAAAAAAAAAAAAGTCTTCCATGATTAATGGAAATACCAATGTAGAAAATCTGAGAGTTGGCAATTAAGAGGTCTGTGCAAGTTAAAGCCAGGGATAGGAAGCAGCAAGGTCACCTACTCATGTCCCATCCTTCTTTTTAGCAATTAAGGAAATTTCTCCCCTTGAATGGATTTTTATTTTTGTGTAGTAAAAAGACACATGCTGTACTAGAGCAATCACAGAGGAGGAGGAGGAAAAAGCCCAGGAAATTAACTCTGACAGCTTAAAACATTTTACAGAGATAGCCAAATAACACCAGTGACCAGAAACCATGGTAAATGCAACAGGTCAACGCAGGCAGGACAGGCTCTCATAAAGTACCAGGGACAAGGTCCTTCTTGGCACAGTGTTGCTACAGAGGGACAGGGTATGGGGGCCCCTGGTGGTCTAGTGGTTAAGGACGCGGCGCTGTCACCGCCAAGGCCCAGCTTCAATTCCCGGTCGGGGCCACTCCCCGGGCAGATGGAGCTCGTTAGCCCATAAGGCAATCCATCTACATCCTGAGGACCTCGCTGCCACCGTCCAAGCTCGCTTGGCCCCTGCAGACGAACCTTAGGATTAAAGGGTGGGCTCAGTTCCGCACACACTGTGTCTCACCTAAAAAAAATCCAATACACAGGCTGGAAGGTGGAAAGACCTTCCCCGGTTCTTCGTTCGCGAAGACTGGCCATTATTATTATGGGGGCCTGACTCCCATCTGCCAGCTATTTTCTTTATTGACTCTCCCAGATGGTGAGCTGGTTCAAACAGTCCCATCTGCAAGTCCTCTTAGTAAGGACAGGTTTTAATGTCAGTCCCCCGGGAACCACTAACCCACCTGCTGACCCCGGCCACAGCAGACACTGATGAAACAGGAGATTTTGACCTGCAAATGCATTTGGGGTTTATTCATCCCACTGCTTGAAGGAACCCTTCCTGCATTCCCCAAGGTGCAGCACCCCCCAAGAGACCCAGACCCTAGACCCCAAGGGCTGTGCAAATCGGGGGCATTGCAGAAGTGTGGTGGATGCAAAGACACGAACGTCTGGAAACGGCAAGCCCACGGACCAGACATGAGCAAGAAATGAATTAAAGTGCCGCACGTTTCTGGCTCCAAAAATGCCTGGAAAAGGTCCTGTGAGTCATCAAATCCTACCCCTGCCTCCCAATCCACCCCCTCTCAACATTTTATCTAACACAAACACCTCCAGCGATAGCTCCGGCTTGTGAGATAGCAGAGCCCATTCCGCTGCCTAATGGCCCTTACTGTTAAGACTGTTTTTATCTCCCAACCTACACAACCCCTTTTTCTTAAAGTTTCAAGTCATTACACCTCGTAATGCCAGTCTCAGCCCTTGCAAACAACCTTCCCCTTTTGCTATAAATCATTACAAACTCATTTTCGGAAAGAAGGTGTCCCACGAATTACCGCAACGGTTTTATTAAATTGCATTTGGATGCTCACATACCAATCTTTGCAAGCTTAGTGAGACGACAAGAAGCTAAGCACAGGAGCCTGACCCTCTGACATCCCCCTCCCATGGATGAGAAGGCACTAGATGCAGCCCCTTCCATGGGTGCCAGGCACCATCAGCTCTGTGCCATTTATGCCATCTTGGGGAACAGCAGTGTAAATGCTCCAATAATTTTGCATATACTCCCAGCTGACAGAAATAAATCTAGAGCTGCAGTAATTTCAGTAGCACCCTGCCTCTTCCTCCTCCTGACGCAGGGAATTTGCACTGAAGACTGGGCAGCAGTGAATTTAAAGCATTACATTTGATTTTGATGTACAATTATCCCCGCAGATAGGTGGTTAGTACAGCAGAAGTGAAAATAATTTCAGTGGATTAAATGTCAAAGAAAAAAATCCCTGAGAACATCTATGGGCAGTTGTGAACTCCTTCACGAGGCTGAAGGATTTTCCTTTGATTTTAAGCATTCCAGGATAGCTTCAACCCTGTTCATCAGACACAGGCAGACAAGTCATGCTTTCCACTGGGCACATAAGCCTTCCCACCCAGATCCAATGGCAGCTTAAATCAGATTAACATTCCCCCCGAATTTACCCCAGGCATTGCCAAAATAAGAACCCATCCCTGCTCAACATTACATTCCTGCAGCCTCCTCCCCATGAGGGATGGGTTCTGCTACCCCGTGCAGCAGCACCTTCGCCTTCTGCAGTCTGGAAATGTCAGAGGGCCTCCTCCCACCCTCTTAGCTCAATGGTTTGTTAATATCACCCACAAGAAAGATGCTGGTTTGGGTCAGTTTTCCTCCTCCAATTGTTTTACAGTCAGCATCGTGCTTTAAATAGATAAAAGCAGTGATTCAACATTTAAATATAGTGGATTTTTCCCCAGCTATTTCAATACTTTTTATTAAAAACCTTCTTTTAAATTATGTTGTGCATCTGTCAGTGACTTTTAATGCTCAGCATTTGGGGGGGAAAGGAAATGCAACTGTTAAGAACCCAGGTTAAGTGCTGATCTTTTAAAACCTAATTAAAGAGATATAAATTATAAACCAACCTCATTCAATAGGTGATTAAAGTTGGAACAGTATGGGTACTACATGGGTATTTATTACTTCTTAATTATCCTTTATTTTCTGTTCCATTCTGTGTTTCACAAGGCCATCTGACTCTCGATTCCTCCCTAGGTCTTGCAGTGTTGGCCAGATGATTCTCATGCAAATCTAATACTCTATAAAACCGCATCTTTTAAAAGAAGTTACAGAAAAATAGGGTTTACAGAGTAAAAGTTTCCTCCTAACAAATGTACAGATGTATTAACAATACTATCATCAAAAGCAGGGAGTTAATTTGTGGGCACCCAGTCACCATACATACTTGTTACAATCACATGCCCACATCCTACAGCGATTCCAGAGACTGGGAAGAACACTGTTCAGGATGTTGTTAAAGTTAACCCCTGGGAAAAAAAAATAAAATTAATGATCTCACTATAAAACCACTGCCTGGGGAGGTTACTAAATTTTAGGGTTCTGCTCTTGCTCTCTTAACTATCAAGAGAGCAACTTGCAGGCCTGAAATAATTAAGAACAGAAAACTCAATTATCTAGTAAACTAAGCTCTTAAACCACTGTGCTAAGCTAAATGGAAAGGCTGCACAGGGAGGAGCATCATTAGTCCCACTCAGGAAAAACAGAATAAAAGAGCAGGAGTACAAAAGGAACCAGCTCACAAGCAAAGGCGCATTGAGACCAGTGGGAAGAGTTGGGATTTTTAATTTTTAAACTGTGCATTGGAACACACCAGCTGCCAGAAATAAAAGAGAGAAGAAAGCTTGACACACTCAGCCAGCCAGTTGTAAAGCTTTGCACCTCAACTCCAAAAGCAAAAGGTTTATCTCCTACTTTCTTAGGGTGAATCCATATTTGCTTCCATCAAAGAAAATGAACAAAAAGGTGGAAATTGCATTTTGCCATGGGAGAAGGAAAACAGAGCCTCCAGCAGATATTTCTGTCAAGATAAATATTCCTCAGCTTTCCTTCATCCCAGGGTAGACATCCATCCCTTCTACCTACATGCACCGGCACAATTACCTAGGGCATCACCATCAACACAAAGAAACCTGAATGGCAAAGAGGAGAGAAAAACAGACCAGGAGAAATGGAAATTCAAGCTACTGTTTATATTTGAGAAATTATGCAGCGAAAAGAACAAATGCAGGAAGAAAACCAAACAAGGGCAACATATGAAAGAAAGAATTTAGTCTGGATGTGAAGCTACCACAGGGTAGAACCACAGGCTGACTCAGGAGCTGGCATTAAGTCTCACCTTCAGAAAAACCTAAGAAAAGCACTCTCCCATCACCCTGCCTTCACTCTTCTCCAGCATAAGACCTCTGATCCAGCTCCAGTCAAGCTGTTGCCACGAATTACATCCTCCCACCCCTCCAAACACTGAGATGCAGCTGACAGTAGTTAGGTCATGCTACTGCCCACCTCCAAGTATTCCAGAGCTGCTCCAGAGCTCAGAAACCTGGTCCCCAGGCTGTAGGACCAGAGGAGACCAAGTTTCTCACTGCCTGATGCATGCCCTCAGCTAGAATTATTCCCAGAACATCAATACTGCTCATGAAACAGCACGACACTTCCCTCATATTTATGAGAATTGACCTTTTTTGTTGTTGTTGTTTTTTAATTAGAAGTGTGGTCTCTGGCTCCTTCAGAGCTCTCCTACAGAGAGTGCTGTGCCAATGTCCCCCCAGCCCATGCACCGCTGATTCAGTAAAATGGAGTCATGGGACATTTCTCCTGCATGTTGCAACTCAGCAGTGTTTCCTCTACTTACTCCTTCAGCCACAACTGCTCATAATGCAAAATGGGGGCTTCCAGCAAGCATTGTTTTCTGTTCATGTCACACACAAAAAAACCCATATTTTACATAAATTGTTTAACCCTCAGTTTCTTCAGGGAGGTATGATCCATAGGCAAAGGTTCTCAGAATTGAGTCCATGGTGATTTGTGGCTGGAAACTCCAAAATTTTGTTTTAATTGACAGATGTATGAAAGGAAGAAAAGCAATAAACAGATGCCTGGAAAATAGTCCTTGAGTGATGCTCCCCTATTACGGAGATTTATGCAGCTGCTACTAGGAGAGGCAAGTGCTCTGAAGTGTAATTACTACACAGAGTCATGCAAGATGGGCCAGATCCAAGGTATAAGCAAGCAGTCGTTGCTTTAATTATGATCAAGTTTATGTACTTAGGCAAATGTAAAATCCACTTTCTATTTGATATGTGGGAACTTTATCATCATAACAAGCTGGAAGCATTCACTTGAAACACCAGCCCTGCTATGAGATATTGATCCAACTACCCACAGGCTCCGTAGAGTGGCAAAGGGCTCCTCACTCCTCCTGATTATCACGGATGCAGCTGGTCCTCCCAGGGGAGAAAGAGCACAACTTAGGAACTCCAGCAACCTGAACCCTGCCAGCAAGGGAAGATACCAGAGCAAAAACACCCACTGCAATCACAGCCAGGCCAGGATCGAGGATACTACCAGTTTCTGGGGCAGGACCAAACACACTGCAGCACAGCAGCCTCAGCAGCCCCTCAACATTCACAGCACAGCCTCTGATGGGAGTCACCCTACAGGAACCTGCCCACCTCCCTGGAGTGTGTAAAAACATACTCCAACAAAGTTACCTAGGAATCAAAGGAAGGATTTCACTGACTTTAAAAGAAGTATCTTCCCTTGCTTCTGTGATTACAAACAAACAAAAGAATTTGTAATTTCAATGGTGATAGCAGCAGCTCTTTCCGTCCCCTGCAACTCTCCATGCAAACATTTAACTTGAAAAGTGTTTCCAGTGCCACCTCCTTACTGACCAGGAGGCCAAGGTCCTGCAGGATGGAGACAGAAAATAAGCTGCTCCTGCAGCTGGTCTGAAGGGTGCAGTAAGTGTGAAAAATTATATGGGAAGGGCAAGTAAGGAAAGGAAGGGATAGGGAAGGTACACTCTCACCAGGACTTACACCTAAACTCTCCTTCTAGCTCTCACAGCTGTTGGTAAGCTGAGGCATTGCTACAGTCCTACAGACCAAAGGACTTGGGATTTGTACCAGCAGCCACAAGACCTTGCAGTCCCAGCCCTGGGCATCCCGCTTCCCCCCCTTTCCTCTCCTGCGCTGCAGCAGTTCACTGCTGAAGCAACTCTTGTGTTTCTGATCTGTGCGACAACAAATGCAAAAAACGTAACTCAACACATCGTTATTAAAAGCAGCTACTGCTGGCGATGATCTCATTGGACCTCCCCTGCCTGTCACGCTTGCCTGTTATCTTTTCCTTCTCATACTTTGATCATAAGGTTTTCAGGGCAGGCGTTCTCCGCTGTGTATTGAACCCAACGCAGGAGCACCCGAGCTCTCCAGGCAGCTCCATAACGCAGCCATCAAAACTGATCGGTTTGTGTACACACACTCCCAGCACACAGCCACCCACCTGGAGCAGCCGACGCTCCCTAGCTCCCAAAAAGCTGCAACAGAAACCTTTAAAAGGCAGGGAATTCGAGTGTTTCACTTGCATTTTAAAATAGGTATGAGGCAAATATACCAAAAGCAGCCTTGCAGGGCGTTGGTGGGGAGGTTCGGTGCGGTACCACCCAGGCAGCCACCTGTAATGGGAACTGCAGAGCAGAGTAACACCTCGCCCAGATCCATCACAGCCTCTCACTGCGCCCTCGCACCCCACACAGCACCCGCACAGCTCGGGGAACGCCGCGCTGCCTCCTTCCAGCCCCGTGCTCTGGAACTGCAGCAGCCCCCGGGCTCAGGCGGGGGGGATGAGGGTTTGGATGCTCTTGGAATGGCTTTACAGAGCGGGATTGCCCTCGGACCCCGGCACACCGGGAAACACTGTGGAAAGCAGCTCTGGCAGACCCAGGACCTGCGGAGACATGACGGGTGCGTGGACCCTCCGCTCACCGGCGGGGAAATCGCACCGGACCCCCGACAGCAGCGAGGACGGCAACAAGGGGCGGCTGGTTCCGCCGGCAGCGCTGCAGCTCTGCCCGACAGCCCGAGCCTGCCTCAGTGAAAGACCCCCCTGAGCAAACCGAGCGCAATAAAGACCTGCTCATTCAGGGGGTTCCCATTCCACATGTAACTGGAGTCTCCGTGTTATCCCCGCGTCCGAGGCGCGGAGCCCGGCGGCCGCCGGTACCGAGCAACTCCCAGCGGGCGGCGGGATAGCGGGCAGCCCGCACCCGGTTCCGCAGCGTCCCGCAGCCGCGCAGAGACCCTCTCCCGCGGCCCCGGCTCGGGGCGGCTGCAGCCGCTTCGCCCCGCACTCGAGCGGCCCCTGGCACCGGCGAGCCCCGGCGGGGGAATGCCGGCCGGCCAGCCGGACGCCACGGGGCAGGGCGGTCTCACCTGGCACGGGGCTCTCGGGCACCCACTTGGCTCCGGGCTGCAGCATCTGGAAGGCGGTGCGGACCGGGCGGCAGGCGGCTTCCCCCGTCGGCTGCGCGGCCCCTGGGGCAGCGAGCAGCGCCGCCGCCAGCAGCAGCAGCGCTCCGCCGCTCCCCGACATCCTCCCGGGCCACCGGGGCGCTCCTCTAGGCGCTGCCAGCGGGCATTCCCGGCGCGGCGGGAGCAGCTGGACCTCACCCCGCACCTCACGAAGCGCTCCCGGGACTCCTGTCCCGGCTCCGCGAGCGCCGCTCGGCCCCGCCCACCGCGCCCCGATCGGCCCCCGCCCCGAACCTGATTGGTGCCTGCCCCCCCTTCTCCCGCCAAACTCGCCCCGCGCGCGGCACCGCCCCGGCGCTGATTGGCCCCCACGGGGCGGCCCCGCCCCCAGGGCGCGCCGCACCTGTCCCGAGCCGCACCTGTGCGGGCAGCGGCAATCCCGATCCCCATTCCCGGTCCCCGTGCCCGTACTCCCGCCGGTGGGTGCGCAGCCCCGCGGGCTCACACCCTGCGAGCGCTGCGCCGCTGCTTCCTCGCTCGCTGCCCGCGCGGTGCAGCCCCCACCTGGTGCGGGACGTGGGGTGCGTGGTGCTGCTCCGTGAGCGAAGGGAGCGTCTCTTAAACCCTCGCCACCCGCAGTTTGAGCTGCAAGGGAAAGCGAAGTTCTGCACGCCACACCTTCACTTAAGGTGAAGGGACGGAGCAGGATTCACCTGGAAACTCCACCGTGACAGCAGAGTGGTGCTGAGTGCAGGACCCTTGGGGCAGCACTGAAGCCTGGATAACCCAGTCTCTGAGGGGTCCAGGGGTGCCACGGGTCTGGGGTGCAGCTGGGTGAGCACTGGACAAATCACACTGGAAACAGGCAGCTGCACATGAGCGGGTTGTATTTTTCCAGCAAAACCATTTCTGCACCAATTTCCAGATGGAGCTGTTGGAAATGGCTCGCTCACTGAGCTAGAGTTCCCCCAGGGTCCCACAGTCCTGGCAGCAAGGACACAGGGGCCCTCACTACTGCACCAACCAGAACCAAGACGTGCCAACTCCATCCCACCAGAAAAAGACCTTAAATACCAGCACGTCTTGCTCAGCTGGAAGGGGCCCACGCTGCTCATCACTCAGCAAGCAGCTGTACAAAGTGGGAAGCAAGCAGGTGGGGCGAGGGAAGGATTTATTTAAAACAGCAAGGGCCACATACGAAAAACTGCCAAAACAGTGTTTGCCCAGGCAGTCTCCACCCTGCTCACCCCCAGCCTGCACAATGCACAGAAAAACAATGAGGCAGCAAGCACAAGCAGAAGAACAGAAGAAAAATATATTTTAAAATTTCCAGTGCAAAGGCAGGATCAAATTATCACCAATGGCTTGCTACCAGCAATTTTTCACTCTGAAATTTTGAAGAGAGATAAAAAATGAAAGTCCAACCTGTGTATTTGTTCTAAGAAAATGCCTGCTAGGGAGCAATTGTTAGAATATATTATGGATATGAGTCTAATAAGCTGGAATGTGCAACATGTCTTGTTGGTTAATGGATTGTTGGAGTCTGTTGCTGTCCACAGACTGTGCTATTTATTATCTGTTTATTGTGTCTGGTAAGCACGACTGACAAAATTTCCATTAACCGGGCAGCAAAAAGTCCTGCTTTGCAGGAATTCAGAGAAATCCAGAAATTTCATTTTGCTTAGAGGTGGAGGTGCTCCACAGTGCAAATTGTGCCTGGTTTCAGCAGAGCTAAGAGCAGGCATGTGCTCAGTGATACAGATGAGGAGTCATCCTTTACCCATTTTCATTCCTCCTGGTTCCTTACATGGAATACCAGCAGCACATGTGCTGCAGCTCATGTGAGATGTGCCACACTGGATAGTTAACATATCTTTTCTGCATCTCCTGCATTGATTCAGTGATGGATTTGTTACCTTTATGCAAGTCTGGGTTTCGGGCACAGCCTTGCATTAGGTCAGGAATCAATTGGACTGAATTGCAAAACACAAAGGCAGGTATTTGAAGCGCTCCTTTATATGCACTATTGCAATCTATATTATGTTTATGGCCTGAATTACAGATCTCTAAAGAGCATTCAGGCATCTCCTGTGTTTATCTTCAAACCTGCTGTGTGTATTTCATTTAAGTACAGGAGGCTTTTGCTGCTGCAGGTAAGTACACAGATATTGTCAAGCACACCATTAGAGCAAAGAATTACATGCAGTGCCAAATAGGTGCCATTTAGGTACCTCTGCTCAGATGAGGAAGTGTTTTAAGATTTCAAACAAATTAGAAAACAACATTACTGCTCTTTACTGGATCTGGCTTCACAGTGGGATCTGACATTATCATGACAATGACTCCCTGCAAAAATAAAGTTTATTTACCAACAAGGAGATGTGTCAAAAACAAGTTAAAGGGGAAATATACAACAAAACCAAGGGGCAGCCCTTTCTTTCAGTCACTATTTTGGCTTATACCCAAAGTCTACTGGCTGTCAGGGGAAAAAAAAGAATTCACATTTTAACTGGAGACTTTTTCTGATGGAGTGAGTGCTTTTCACTCATTTCTCCCAATTTTCACTCCAGCATTACTGACTTTCCTTGGGATAATAAACTCTAGGATGCAGCTAGATGGAGATAACAGGTGAATCCCATCTAATCCATGGACCAGCACTACTGGCATGTCCTGTAGCACCTCCAGCGCCAAGCCCAAAGGACACTCTTCACCCCAATGCCTGAAGAAGCATTCCCAAGGTGACAATTGCAGACTCTGACTTCCATCAGGACTGCAACAGCATCAAGAAAGTCTGAAGCTATTTTCCTGGGCCCTGCACATCCATAAAACTTGTCCTTTTAACATGTGAGGGTAGCAAATGTAGATTTGTCCTGGAGGAGAAAGCAGACAACTTGCTCCAAGATCAGAGGCAAAGTCACTGGGTTAGTTGTCTGCCAGCAGATGTAGTAAGAGCCAAGTCATTGTCTCATATCCAGGATGATAATTTCCCTTGTTACAACTGCTCACACCGTAAAAAATTCACTTAATCATCTACCTGCCTCAAGCCTGTAAGTAATGAGAGGCAGGATCGTGTGTAGCTGATTTTATCAAATGCTCTTATGAAGTTCTCCACTGGGAAAACCCTGAATCAATTAAAACACCAAGGAGAGATGTAGGAGAGGGATTCATACTCCCCAGTAGATGCTCACCAGGTTATAAACACATTTTCCTTATTCTGTGGATGGGATGGATGAGCTCCATGGGGACAAGGTCAGCTGAGCCATGCCTATAACGGAGGAAATCACCGTGGGGCAGGGCAGCAAAGAAAAAACTTGGAGCATCTGTTGACACATCTGCATGTTTTTGGCACATACCTGACAGTCTGCCTGGATTTCTCATCCCTGATGTGATCTTCTTGTGCCGCCTATGGCCCAGCTGCATCACTTGAGATCTCACGTGTCCTGCTGGAATCAGGAGCCTGCTGGAAGCAGGCAGTGATGGCTTCTCCCTGTCAAAATGACCCTTCCCACCCTGCAGAAGTTGCATTTTCAGGCTTTCATAACCATTTGTGGAGGAGGAGAAGGGAGAAGCTCTTCACTATATAACAGTACTCGCACATAGCCTGATGGAAAAAAGAAAAGTGCATTTGCCATGGGGCACTGGGAGAAATGATGGATTGCCAGGTAGCAGACATCCCTCCTCTCTTTGGCAGGATATTGTATTCCGTGTGCCATACAGGAATGCTGATAGATCCATAAAGCATTAGCCCTTTCCTCACCCTAAAAAGCAGTGGCTGATAAATCACTCGCTCTCTGGAGTTTGTTGGGAGCAGATCACACAGCAGAAGCAGTGAAGCCTTCAGAGAGATACATCACTTAAAGACACTGCAGATGCCAATAGGGCTGTACATCAAGAATGCACAGACAAATCACTTTCCCAGTTAGAAAATAAGATACTTCAGAACTGGAACTTCTTTTGCAAGTATGTACCAGCTTGTTCTGGTACTTACATCACACTCATATCAGAAATGCCTCCCAGAGCCTTGGAAAATCTCTGCACTCCAGTCCTGGGGATCGCCCCATTTTTTTACAAAGGGTTTGAAGAGTCTTCTCTCCCCATAAAGGACAGAAAACTTAATGAAATTGCAGAATATTTCATGGCATAAAATCCCAGCCAGATTCAAACTTTTCCAAACCAGCACTTAACTGTGGATAAGACTCAGGTTTTGCAGGGGGCAGCTGGATGAAGAGCTAGCCATGCAGTTACCTGAAGGGCTTTGCACCCTTTGTAAAATTCAAAATGCACAGACGCAGCTGATGTGGCTCAAAAGCTCCTCCACACCCCCCCCCCCCATCTCTGGAGAGCCCAAAACTCAGCATGAAAGGCTGAAACACACAGTGTGCTGGAGTTTGGCCTGTGCTGGTCATGGGATGCAGCTGTCAGGGAAGAAGGATGCTCGAAGAACTCCTCACCACTGCCCAAGCTGCAATACCCATCTCCAGTGAGTGGAGCTGAACGCCGGCAGAGCTCCTGAGTGCAAGACAATCACTTGAGACGCAGCTCTGCAGAGGGAATCAAAGCAGAAGAGATGGGAGAAAACTATTCACCATGCACTGCTGCCTCTGCTGGGAGCACAGGGCAGACATTTCTCAAGCTGATATTTTCATTTATCATCTCCTGGTAATTAATCAACAGAAGAGACATCACCAGGAGCCAGCCCAGAAGGGATCAGCCCAGAGCATTCACCGATGGAAATAAAGCACTGCCAGCAATTATCAGCCCAGGGCTGTCACACCATGGGCATCCCACTCTCATACAGAGGGCACTGCTGTGGACCAGGTCTGCACAGCGTGGGCAGACTGACAGGGCAGCATGGGAGCCATTCTGGATTTAACTCTGGAGAGATGCTGCACTACCAATTCCCCGCACAGGCTCAACAGCTCAGCACAACCTGTGAGTGCTGGAGCAACAGGTGACGAGGTACACAGTGCAGAGCCAAAGGGCAGAGCGAGACTGCACCTTTGCAGAGCAGGCAGTCCTAGTAGGAGTCATGGGGCTGCACACATTGATGAAATCCCACTGTAGCATGTGGAGAACACACAGGCTTTGAGATGGGATATACAGCAAAACCAACAGAAATGTTATTGAATACATAAATTGCTCCCACTCTAAAGGACAC